AACCCAAACTAAAAGAAACTGCTTTTACTATCTGTAAGCCTTCATATAGAACATATTTACCTTTTTTTTTTTTTTTTTGGTATAGTTACCCTTTAAGCAAAATAATAAATACCTCACATTTCTGGCTACTTTTAATTTTAGTGGGCATCTTCTAATACCTACCAAGGTCTTCAGACTGGACATGAGGCTAACCTAAGACAGTCAGGTCCTCTGTGCGTATGTGGTAGATATTTGTGTGCATGATGTATGTTGTATATGATCTATGCCTAAGGAGTTTTGTCTGTGTGGTTTTATATGGTGTGTAGTGTATATTTGTGCATGGTGTATTCTTAGTATGTGTTTATAATATGTATTTGTGGTGCATGTGGGTGATACCTGTACATGTGTATGATATCCCTGGTATCTTTTTATGTACTATACATATGTGTGTGTTGTGTGTATATCTGTATCTGTGTGCTGTATGTGGTGTGTGCAATATATAATTTTTATGTGCATCAAGCATATTTGTGTATGGTACATGTATGTGCACTGTATGTGGTACATTTTCTGTATGACTGTCTTTAGTATGTGTGTGTGTATGTATATGTGGTACATGTGTAAAAGTTTCAGTAGCAGACTAGTGAAATGACCCACAGTGGGCTACCCTCCAGGCTCTGAGGCTCTCTAGAGCCATTTCTTCATTTCTACTAAATATTCTCGGGAATTCTCAAGAAAAGGGAAAGCCCCTCTTTAGCTCTGTCTCTAGCAAGCAGTGACACACGACAGAGACCAGACCCTCACATGTAAGCTTTTTGAACCAATGGTTAGCAGAATGAATGAAACTGGGAACAGAATGCACTTACTGATTCCCAGTAAATTTCCAGGCTTACTGATTTAAAGAATAACCCTATCATTTCACTTTCCAGAGTAATTCACTCCCAAGTTCTGGAGACCCAAACAATAACCCGCACATATACAATCTTGACACAGTAGCAAGTGGTTCTGGCAGATAGTGGGAGTTTCTCTGTAATCACTTCAGCTCCAAGGAAGATCTGCTGAAGGCATGGCCTGCTCTGTGTGCCTGGAGCCTCCACATACACCATCATCAGCCACCAGTCCCTGTTCCTACTCCTGTGTGTCATGCACCACCTTGAGTGTATCTCTTGTCATCTCTCCCTAAAAACAGTATGAAGTACACAGTAACATCACCAATCCATGTCTAGTTCTTTTCTCTTTTGGAGGAAAAATGCACACAGTAATCACAGAATTCCTTGGCCATGTTTGAAGCAAGCCAATCTATTAAAAAAGAGAAGCATTAATATCTGCCCAGGGTCCCTGTCCCCTACTGTGTACAAACAAGATATGTTCTTTTTCAAGGTTTCATTTCTTTTTATTGACAAAGAGGGAAAAGGTACAGGTAAGAAAATGTTTTCTTGGTTACAAAAACTGTCAATAAAATGGCATCTTGAATTTCTATTTTGCTCCATTTAAAGGTTTCCTCAAATTTCTTTAGTTAAGCACTGAATGGCAATTGGCAGTTTTTTCAATTTTTTTTTTTTCTGTGTGTATGTGCATGTGTGTGAAGGTTCACAGGGGTGTGGTCATGTGTGTGGAGGCCTGAGTTCAACCTTGGGTGTCAGTTCTCAGACATCATCCACCTTTACTTTTTTGAGACAGGGTCTATTACTGGCCTGGACCTCACCAAGTAGGCTAGCCTGGTTGGCCAGAGATCCATATGCCTCCATCTCCCCAGTGCTGGGATTACAAATGTGCTTATGTAAGTTCTGGGGATCAAACTCAGGTCCTGTTGCCTACAAGGCAAGCATTTTACCAACTGAGCCAGCTCCTCAGCCCCTAAATACCTGACAGAATAAACTGAATGAATGATAAGAGCTGAAAACGTCTCCACCTCTCTGAAAAGTCAGTGGATTCTACAAAAGTAAATAGCATTTGAGAAAAGACTGTCTCCCCACATCTGCTGTTCAACTGAAACGTTTCCATTAGTGAAGAGAATCACCCACCGTGTGCTACACTTTAGCGTAGCCCTACCTTCTTTCTACCCCTCCTGCTAATCTGTTTCCAGAGCCGAATGATTTTTAAAATTTGACATCTGAACGTTTGTGGCTTTTCAGCTAAGCAAAGAAAACAGTGATAATGACTATCTGCCAGCTGCATACTTTTGTGACATTCAATAGGCTTTATTTGGATTAAGAAATGCAATTGTTTGCAGAATCTGAAGGGGAGGAAAGCAGTGACAGGTATACTTCTACGCCATCCCAGTTTCAACTTGGGTCTCACGCTACGTTTACAGTTTTATAAAAGAGTAAAAATAAACAGACTCAAGTCTTTTGAGAGTTGATTTACTCACTGACAGAACTTTGGGGTGACTTAGGAGTTCTAATGAATTGACACAGAAATGGTATAAAACCAAACAAAGACTGGAAGCCATACATAATGAGCTGCCAACACTGTCACTCAAGTTCTTGATGAAGGCCTTCTGGACCTTTTTTGTTAACTGTGCTTGTCTGTGCAACAGATCATCTATACACATCATCTGCAATTTATTAAAGTTACCATAAGCATATTTCAAAGCATACAATACTTGCTTTTACCTACAAAGTTGCTATCATAAATAGATAAATGGTACACATGACTAGCAAATCAAACACCCTCAAGCAAGAAATCGTGAAGTCAAAGATTTCCTTCTGACTTGTATCTTCTATTGAAATAAATGATCAGGCTCCATTTTTTGCTATAGAATTTTAAAAGCTTGCAAAACCTCTATCTGTCCAGCAGAACAGATCATTAAACCATTCTCTTGGGTTAAGTGGATTGATACCCATCTTCTATTAAATCTCCTTCAGTCAAGTAAAAACCAGGGCAGGGAGGAGCTCAAGTTCTTTGTGGTGCTTTACATTATTCTAGCTAATTATTGCCAACCTGTCTTAGATCATAAGTATTTATAAATTGAACTCCCTGTGTTATTTCTTGCCCTGAACTCCACAAATCCCTACTGGATCTAAGCAGATCCTTGGGCAACTTTGGTTTTAATAATTTTGCCATTGCATACTCTGTTTAAGGTTGCATCACTTTGTGACGGTTTACCCAGGTCATCCAATTAAGCTTTTCAAACCTCCCTTTTTATCTGAAGTTCTCTTCATAAACACACATGCATGCACTCTGGCTCGGTTCCTATTCACCGCTCAGACTGCCTCTTACTCCCTCTGTCTTGTTCGCCTCCTGGCACCACTGGGGAGACTTTTCCCAGAGCCCATGGATTAACCATAGACTCCAAAGAAACTTGGGAGATTTTTGGCTACACTAGACCCAAGGATACCTTTGGATACACTTGGGCTCTCAACTATTCCTATCCAAGTTGGACTGGTGGGTAGGTCTACCATTACAGCTCCTGTCTCTCAAGAGGGAACAAAAGGCTCAGAGTTGGTTGGGCATGGTGGCACACGCCTGTAGTCCTAGCACGCAGATCTCTGTGAGTTCAAGGCCAGCCTGGTCTACATAGTGAGTTCCAGGACAGCTCAGGTTACAGGGAGACCCTGTCTCAAAAAGACCAAAAAAAAAAAAAAGGCTCAGAGTTGGGCCATGGTGCAATTGTGAAGATAGTTTTTGCAGCTCCAACAGGCAATGTTTTCCTGCAAAATATTCTGTGGATGTGAAACTTTCAAGTAATTCTTCATTTGAAAGTTATTTGACAGTACTTCTTTTTCTCCACAGACATTACAACAGATTTTTTTTTAACAAGGGGGCAATTTTGCCTGTTTCATCCTCTCTTTTTTTCTTGTGCGTGTGGCAGCTGCTGTTTGATCTGCTCATTGGCTCTGATTTGTTTCATGTTTCAGCCAAAGATTAAAACTGCTCTGTAATTCTAAGCAGATGGCACTAGAAGTCCAACCCTATAATTACACCTTCTCTCTTTTGCCCTGCAACTGCAAGCGTTCCATCCTGACTTTTAAAATGCTGGGATGGTTGTAGCTCAGAGCACACCTTGGCAATCAATTGGGCAGGTCTGGCCGACCCAGACAGGTTCACAGGGCCTGAGGGGAACTACACAAGCTGCTCACCTCCGGTTAAGTTCCTTTTTTTGGGGGGGGGGGGGGGGGGGGGGGTGTCACAGCCTTACTTTCAGCCCTGGCTCCAGCTGCAGGTTTGGGTGGCTGTGGTGGGTGTTAAGGAAGGAGAGCTATAAAGTCACTCAACTGAAATGTCAGGTGTCTGACCACTGTTCAGGCCAATAGAAAGACCACAGTGCATTCCTCCACTGCCTGTCACAATTATCGACACCCACCTGCCATAAAATAGGCTTCGTCCACCCCAGTGCAACTCTGTCTTGTTTTGCACTGTGAAGTCTCTGGATCACTTTCGGGTGCTGATGATGTCTGGCTACGGTTTTCCTAGAGCCCGGAGAAATTGGCACAAGAAACACGGGAAGACTTCATTGCAGCATGAGGGGAACTGGGTGTCCAGTTCCTTATATCTTAGGAGACTGGCTTTCATGACTGCACCTCGCCTACCAAAAATCCCCTTGCGCTGCGACCAGAAAATTCAGCAGCCCACACTACACTTCAACACGAAGCAAAAGCGTTTGAGGAACAAACACTGGTCCTCAGACGGCAGACAAACACCCGCGAGACGTGTCCTACCCATTAAACCATCACAGCTCCACTTTACAGCCTCGTAAAGGCCGGGACCGCGCGGAGAGCCCCTGCTGCGCTCTCGGTGGAAAAAGTTCAGCAAAGTCTGCGATTTCATGACAGTTTACAGTTGGAAAGGCCCACAGGAGTGAATCAAAAGTTTTCCCTCGGCCGCGACACCACGGATTCTAGAGCTACAAAGTGTCCGGGCGGGGTTCGCATCTTTACAGAAAGAACACTGCCAAGCAGCAAATCACCGCGGGCTCCGCAGGGGGAAGCGTTTGCGCGCCTGGCCGGAGCGTACCGTGGTCCCCCAGCCGCCCGGCGCCATCCCCGGCGGTGCCCGGCGACCCTCGGGAGGATGGGACTCACCGTGTAACAGGAGGGCCGGGAGCAGGTATCCTAGCAGGAGGCGGCGCACACGGGACATCTCCTGGGCTCCTCCGGGCCTCGCGCCCGCCGCCGTCCGTCCCGGTCCCCTCCGGTGCGGGGTGCGCTGGGCTCTCCGGCCGCAGCCCA